TACCGTTTTAAGTATTTTAAGTGTAAATTTCAGTGGTATTAAATACATTAACAATGTGAAGTTATCACTACTGTCCATCTCCATAACTATTTCTGTTGTAAAACTAAAACTCAATACCAGTTAAACAAAAAATTTCCATTCTTCATCCCCCTTCCCCTAACCCTTGGCAACTGCCATTCTACTTCTTGTCTCTCTAATTTTGACTGCTCTTAAGTACCTCATATAAGGAATCAGTATTTGTCTTTGTGCAACTGCTTATTTCACTTAGCATAATGTCCTCAAAGTTCATCTGTGTTGTAGCATGTCAGAATTGTATAGACTGCATTTTACTTATCCATTCATCTGTCAGTGGACAGTTGGGTTGCTTCCATTTTAGCTACGAGGAATAATGGTGCTTGAAAGTAGATATACAAGGTGGTGCACTCTTGTAATCCCAGCAGTTTGGCAGGCAGAGGCAGGAGGATGGCAAGTTCAAAGCCAGTCTCCACAACTTAGTGAGGCCCTTGCCGCAGTCCGGCTGCAGCAAAATAATGGGGGGGGGGAGAATGAGCAACTTGTGTACATTGATACAGCAGGAGTGGGAGCCATTTATTGTAGGACAGGAGGGGTATATATACATTGCACACAGCTTATCTTNTACACACATACTAGGCAAGTGCTATAACATGAAAGTATATCCCTGCTGCAGTCCAGCTGCAGCAAAATAACCGGGGGGGTGTGGGGTGTGACAAGCAACTTGTGTAGATTGATACAGCTGGAGTGGGAGCCATTTATTGTAGGACAGGAGGGGTATATATACATTGCACACAGCTTATCTTAATTAACATAAACTAGATACAGCAGTCAACCAATAAGGAATCTCCACACTTAATGGCTCACTGGCGTTACTTCACAAAACAATCCCTCTGGCAGAAAGCCAGGCGCCATCTTGACTTGTTTACAGACCCTAACAGGCCCTCAGTAACTAAAGACCTTGTCTCAAAATACAAAATAAAGAGGGCTGGAGATGTGGCTAAGTGGGTAAGCATCCTTGGGTTCAATCCCTGATATCAAAAAGAAATAAAAATGGTGAAGAGAGTGGGGGGGGGAGAAAATACAAATATTTGAGAGATCTTGCTTTTGGTTCTTTTGGGTATATCCCTAGAGATTAAACTTTTAGACATATGGTAATTTTACTTTAAAATTTTTTTAGGTGCTGACATAGTGTTTTTCATGATGACAGTACCATTTTACAGCCCAACAGTATTACACTAAGATTCTGGGGTTTTTTTTACAACCTCCCCACGCTCTTTGTTTTCTTTGATAGTAACCATCCTAGTGGGTGTGAGGTGGTACCAAAAAAGGTTTGGGGACAACCTAAGTATGTACATTTCTAAGACTAAAGTGAAATGATTAGATGCTTTTGGGGGGGTAATATGTTATTTATTGATTTAACATTAAATTGCACAGTATTGTATATTGGTGCTTTTTTCCACTCAAGTTTCATGAAATAAATGTATTCTTTTTCTATTTTCATTTACATCTTAGGTTTATGACTTTATCATTTACCTGAAAAGTTGTAGCTATTCAGTATCACCTGACAATTTTTGGAGCATGCTGTTTTTTACTTGTCTTTACATTGTTTGAGATATAACCACTTAAAAATTTGTATGTGATGCTTTTACTGAAAATTTTGTCTTAAGCCTATTTATCCCAAGTGCCCGTTTGCTATTTGTTATTTTCATGTAACTATATTGCTTTATGAGTTTAATTTAAATCATAAATATATTTACAAAATATATGCATATAAATTTAAGTACAAAATTTAAGATGTAGAAAGATTACCAGTGGTTCTGGCTCCTCTTTCCCCTACGTTACCAGTGCATAAGCAGGGATCCCCAGGGTGTCCTGGCCCAGGTTCTTGGTATCCTGAAAAAAGACTTGAGAGAAGTGAGACATTGGCAAGAAAAAGCAAAGGTTTATTGAAAGTGAAATTTCAATAAACTCTGGGTGAGTATAGTGGACCAAGCTACATAGTAGCTCAAGGCCGTATCCTACAYAGTGGGGCTTGCTTTTATTAAGCTGTGCTAGTGTGTTAGGTGGATAGAGGTCCCTAAGGGGTAGTAAGCTCTCTTCTACTTTTTTTATCCCTTACCCATGCCGTGACTCACACCTAACACTGATATATTATGTCTCGAGCTAAAACACTATGAGTAGCTCTGAGTGAATTAGACGTTGATCATACATAAGCACAAACATAAAGCTAGGTGCTGGGTATACAAGCACAAGAAAACCATTTCTTGTGTTTAAGAAGCTTCTACTTTGTCAGAGAAACCAGAAAGTAAACCAGCATTTACTGATTAGCAGTACATCATTGATATACTACAACAGTATAGGGTTGGGAACCAGGAGGTATTTTAGCACATACATTGACAAGTAACACTTCTGGTGCTTCTCAGAATGGGCCTGAATGGGGAAAGGGCATTCCAAGCATGTAGCTTAAGTTTGACTATAGTAAAATTGTATAGGATAGAGAAAAGGAAGGCAATGCTAGAGAAATAAGCTGAGATCTCATCATAAAGCACTTTCCAGATCATAAAGACTTTGGAATTTATACTGTGTCAGGAGAGAACCATTAAGGAATTTTAAAACAGGGTGTGTGGCAGGTAGATGATAGAACCATACTTGTTTTTTGGAATACATGTTGGCAGCAAGGTGGAAGATAGAATGATGATCAGTTTGGATCCTGTTGGTAATCAAGTATGAAGTGTTAAGGACTTGATCTAAACCCATATTTGTAGTAGTAAATTGAAAATAAATGAGAGGTACAGGAGTAGAGTCAGCACTTCAATTTCTCACAGCAAGGCTAAAGGGCTGGCAAGAGGCTCAAAATGAAGTGTAATTGGAATTGCAGATAGTAGCTTTAATACAAGCCTTCACCTTGGTGGAATCTGCCCAAATTGAATGATTTTGAATTTCCTTTTTTATAGCTAAATAGGGCACAAGAAGCAAAGTTTAGGACCTTCCAAAGGAAAAGAATTTAAATGATCACTCCTCTTCATGAAGCTGAGATTTTAATGTTTCACCCATGCTGGGGTGAGGGTGCATTTATAGGGACAGATATATCTAATAAGGGTTGTTGGATGATAACATTTTCCATGTGGTCTTGGAAAGCTTCCAAATCAAGAATATATTTAAAGTGTTTGCGTGTTTAGTAGTACTACCTGTTGGGACTTTGCAAAGTCTATGAAATCCTCTTAGGAGGGATTTCAACCCAGTATTCAAAAATCTTCAGATTAAAATTCCAAGGCACACAAGATCAGTTTWAAAAAAAATCACAAATCTTGAAGAAACCATGGCACACAGTAAAAACCAGGAGAAACAGAAAGACATTGACCCATAGAGACTGCAGAAATTTTATATTGTGTCTCAATAATAACAATATTTGTTTGATTAATATGCTTGAAGAAATGAAAGCTTGAATGGAAAAATTAAGGTTTTCTGAAACATGACCAAGTAGATAAGGAAATAGAAATAGAACTTATAAAAGATTAAATTGAATTAAATAGATAGATTGGCACAGCTAAAAGAGAGAATGTGAAATGGTAGATAGCTTTTGTAGTTAGTAACCATGAATGCAGCATAGAATGATAAAGAGACAATAACTATATGAAAGAAAGATTGAGTGAAGAGTTCTAATAATTTAATTGGCATTCTAGAAGAAAATATGGTTTGAGGGGTAAGGCAATAGTCAATTAAGTGACTGAATAATTTTTTTTTTGGAGCTTTATCAATACATGTTTATTCTCCTGCTTGCTCCTAAATCGCTCACAGATGACTGAAGAATTTTTAGAATTGATAAAAGATAATCCATAAGTGGTGGAAATCCACTGAATYCCAAGGAGTATAAATAAAATTAGTCCCAACAAATCAGAGTGAAAGACAGGAAACAGGTCACAGTCACAGAAATCTTAAAAATGGCTATTTCCTTTAGTCTGACAGCTGATTTCCCATTAGGAACAACAGAAGCCAGAGGACATTGGAATGTTGTTTTCAGTGTACTTAGCTGTCAGCTTTGCAGTGATATACCTTGTAAAGCCATCTTTCAGGAATGACAGTAAAATAGATATTTTCAGACAAAAACTTAGAAGAGCATCTACTACCAACAGAAAGAAATTCTAAGGGACATGATTGAGATAAAGAAAAATCCCAAATGGAAAATCTGATACTTTATAGTGGCCACAATATATTAAATCAAATGGATGTTCTAAATTACATTCTGTTATCGGATATTTATGTTGTTTCCAATTTTTCATTTTTAACTGAAGCTACTCTGGACATATATAGACAAGTTTATGCATATACATTTTCCATAGATTTAATTTTTTTGACTAGATGTCCATATTACACTACTAAGTCAAAAAAGGAGTATTTGATCATTAGTACTTGTTGTAGAATTGTTTTCTTAAAGGTTTTCACTAATTTACATTTAATTTTAACAGACTGTGCAGATTTATTTATACATCAGTGTAAGGACCAGTATTAAATGATAGATTCTTATTTCTTATCAGATTTTGATTTAGTTATATATCTTAGACAAAAATGACCCATCTCACTTTTTTCTTGCTTTCATATTAAAAATGCTTTGTAACAAGCAGATGCTAACTAAAATGCATTCCTTTTAACAGAAAAATATTTCTAACTTTATAGAATGATGTAGTTTTTTATTTTTCTTTATCTTTTTTTAATTTATTAACAAATATATACTTAGGTCATTTAAAGAAATAGCAAAGGAATGCTTTATTTAGTTTTCGATTTAGTATAAAAGATGAGTATTTTAATGCTGCTACATTATTTTCTAGTTCTGTATATTTCATACTAGCTAGCCAACAGTGTAAAAATGAACTTATTTAAAAATGAAAGGATTATTAATTTGCCTGGCAGTACTGTATTTTAACAGAAGCTGAATGAAAGAAGGTATCTTTAAAGCTTTTTTCCCCCCTRTCCTTTTGCTATTTCAGGTGCAAGTGAAAGTGTAGGAAAACATATGCTTGAAGCCTGCAACAATAATCTGGAGATGGCAGTCACTATGTTTTTGGATGGTGGAGGAATCGCTGAAGAGCCCAGTACCAGTTCAGCAAGCGTCTCCACTGTCAGACCACATACAGAGTATGAATTTATTTTTTATTGTTAAGAGCTATCCTTTGCCTAAGTTAACTAGTTGCATTTTTATCAAAGTTAGGTCATTTTCTGGTCTTGAAAAAAAATTAAGGTTGGAAGCCTCAAAAAGTATAAAGTGAAAATTTTTGTATTTATATACCTTGAATTCTCTTGAGCACTGTCATGTCTGTTTTTAAATTCTCTCTCAGTCAGACTTCATGGGCTCCACATGAAGTCCTGGAGGCCARCAGTGGCATGGTGGAAAGTGAAGCTGCATGATTAGGATTGGCTTGTGGCCAGAGGCAAGGTTTGAACGCCTCACAATAGCCAAAGGGGGAGGAAGAACTTAATAGAACAGTATTAATGCCCACATTGCTAAGCAGGGGCATAGCAATTTTTCTGAGCCACATAGCAGTTAAGCAGCAGATACAGAAATCCAGTAAAGTTCATATTTCCCAATTCTAGATTTTCTTAATTGTCCCAGGAATGTGAGTTCCCATGAAAAATTTTTAAAAACTAATTCTGGTCTGCGGGTATAGTTCAGTGGTATGCTTAGCATTCATGAGGCCCTAGGTTTAATCCCTAGCACTTAAAAAAAAAAAAAGTTAATTTACTTTAAAAAAAGGACAAACAATTTTGGTTACCTTAAATAGTTATATGTAGTTAATCATTAAAAGCATTCTCAGCTTATTGAGCTATAATAAATAGAGAATAGTAATAATGGTGAAGAGATTTGGTGGTTTTGTTCTTTACAATTAATACCATGAGAGTTTGAAATAAATACCTGTTGGGCAGAATTTCAACTGTCTTTGGAAAATATTAGGCCTGAACCTTGCTCAAAGGAAAGGCCTTTTTTTTTTTTTTTTTTTTTTTTTAAGTTGTAGATGGACACAATACCTTTATTTTATTTATTTCTTTTTATGTGGTGCTAAGGATCAGACTCACTGGCTCTCATGTGCAAGGCAAGAGCTTTTTACCCAGGGCTTTGTCCATGGTAGGCAAGCACTTTACCACTGAGGTACACCTCAACCCCGTTTTAAAAATTTTGAGACAGAGTCTCACTAATTTGCCCAGGCTGGCCTTGAATTTGGGATTCTTCGACCACAGTCTCCCTAGTAGCTGGGATTACAGGTTTATGCCACCATTCTCGGTGGAAAGCCATTGATTTTTTTTTTTTTTTTGGCTTTGAATTTGCCATCCTCCTGCCTCTGCCTCCCGAGCTGCTGGGCTTATAGGCATATGCCACCACGTCTGGCGAGTCTTTTTTTTTTTTAAAGCAAGCAGCAGGTTTATTGCAAAAGTGATAGGGATAGACTTTATTTGAAGAGAAGGGGCCCCAGAGCTGGGAATCCCAAGACATTGATTTTTGAGACAAAATTTAAAAATCCTCAAGTGAGACTTTAATATTCCTTTTTATAGCATTGATTATATATAAGATTCAAGAAGAATCCTCTTAAATATGAAGAGGCAAAATACTAGTATTTTATTTTTACTAAATTAGAGATAAATTTAAAAACCAGATCATATACAGGCATAATTGCCTCTTTTGTTGAACTAGTTCCATATTAATACAGTATTGTTTTGTTGAACTAGTTCCATATTAATACAGTATTGTTTCCACATGAAGTGTGGGCCTTAGGAATCATTATAATTATAACATTTTTTTCATGTTAATGTTGGCCATTTATTTCAAGTGTGATATTTCATTCTCCTCTACCATGGCTCAGATTTTTAATGGGAATCAATATGAAAACATGATTTAGTTTATAGAAACATGAATAGTAGATGGAGTTGATTTAGGGGCACATATCTGCCCTTCTCATTGTATAAAATGTATTTTTTAAATTGTGCTTTAAAAGTAAATACATTTTTTGAGGTTCTGGGCATTGAACCCAGGGGTGCTGTACCACTGAATTCTACATGATGAATTATTAGTATACCCTGTGGAAGTGAACTTTGAAGAGAATTAACTTTCAAAAGATATGTAATTATATCTTCTGTTTGGGTCTATTTAGTAAGTAACCCAAGATTACTTACTAAATAGACTAAATATAACCCAAGATTATACCTGTATTAGTCTCTTTTGTAATTTAACATAAAACTCATTGTCGATTTATTTGACCTCACTTTAATATATCCTTGTGATTTAATTATCTGTCATTTTATATAATGTGGTAGTACTTCTGTTAAGCCTGTTTTACCATTTTTGGTCTGTCTTTTTTYCTGTAAAAATTTGATGTGGGGAACCTGAGAAGGGGTGGGAAATATTTTTTTATTTTTATATTTGTTCTTTATAAGATATTTATAAGACAGTCTTTATAAGACTGTCTCTATGCAAGGTATTCTAGTTCATTGTGTGAAAATCAACTAAAACACATTTATCATGATTACTGTGGTTCCTAAAAGTCACTAAGTCTGGGGTTCATTTTACTTAATTTAAATGTATTCACAATAATTAGTTCGAAGGTATTAGAAAACAGTTTTCATTTGATATTTTCCTACTTTTTTAATAGAGAAGAAGTTCGTGCCCCAATTCCTCAAAAGCAGGAAATATTGGTGGAACCAGAACCTTTGTTTGGTGGTAAGTTCAGTTTTTTCCCCTTCAATTGATTTTGTTGTTGTCTCTAGGATTTTAATGTAAAAATCAAGAAATATGAAGGCTTGTTCAGGGTGTTACTTAAGTGTTGTTAAAAATRTATATATATTTTTGGTATCAGGGATTGAACCCAGGGTCTCTTATTATCACCAAGCCACATCTTCAGCCCTTTTTTTAATGTTTCATTTTGAGACAGCAAATACATATTGTACATGTTAAGAACAGTAATGTAGAGAAATAGTTTGTAAGTTGAGAGCAAGAGACTTAATGTAAAGTTTTGTACAACAGACGAAAAGAAATAAGTTGTGAGAAGATGAAGAAAATTATATTAACCAAATCTTTTGACCTGAAAAAGCACCTTAGTTGAGAGGTTTTTTTTWAATTTTTTATTTGTTTTAAKTAGTTACACATGACAGTACAATGATCTTGACATATCATATATTTAAGTTGAGAGTTTTTTAAAGATAGACTTTTAACTTGGCAGTCTTTTATAGAGTTTACTATACCAAGAAATAAAAATGCAGTTGTCTTATGTCTACAGAGAGTTGATTCTAGGAGACTCTCCCCTCACACCTTCTTCTGTGGATACCAAAATTCATGGTTGCTCAAGTCTCTGAATAAAATRGCTTAATATTTGCATATAATCTATGCATGTCCTCCTGTATACTTTAAATAGTTTCTAATTTACTTATAATATCCCATATAATGTAAATGCTTTGCAAATAGTTGTTGCATTGTTTAGGGAATAGAGACACTAAAGTCTTTATGTGTTCAGTATGGAATCATTTTCTTTTTCTCTCAAATTTTTTTCCCAGTGTTGATCTGCAGACATGAAACTTGCATATATGGATGTGTGTGTATGAATATTTCTAGATTCAGAAATAAATAAAGTTGGGGGGAAATGTTGAAATCAGAATACTATAATAATCCTTTCTGAACTATTCAGGTCAGCCAGTCATTGTGCTGTTATTATATCAGATATAATAATATGTTGTTCATATTTTTCCATACCAATGCTATGAACTGATTTTGGAGCTGAAGAATAATGTTCTTAGAAGCTTTATCTTCTGTTTATTTAAAGGAATAGGCAAGATCTTTGATTGGGAAAACCGTAGAAAATGAATTTTTGTCTTGCTGTTGAACAGAGGCAAACAGGATTTAATTTAAAACAACACTTTTTTCTTCTTCTTCTAGAATGACATACACTCAGGAGGGAGAGTGACTTTATACAGTTAAAAAGTTAGTCTTGTCATTATTAGGTCTTCTTATAACTTGACTAGGGTCTTTGCAGAAATGTTTTCTTCTTAGGACAGGTATTGATTTAAAGCACGGTTTTAAAGGGTGATCTGGGAGTTCCTAATGCCCTTTTAGGGGGTCTGCAAAGTTAAAACTATTTTTATAATAATGCTAAGAAGTTGTTTGTCCTTTTCACCAGAGTGACATTTGAATTTATGGTTTAGAAGCAGTGTGGAATGCTGGGTCAGACTGTCAGCATCTTAGTTGTTTAGGGCAGTGGCACCAAACTGTATCACTAGTCATAGACTTCTTCACAGTCACATGCTCAATTTACAAAATAATTAAAAAGGCAGTTTTCTTTTATAATTTTTTTTTTTTTGTACCAGGGATTGAATTTAGAGGCACTTAACCATTGAGCCACATCCCTAGCCCTATTTTATATTTTATTTAGAGACAGGTTATCACTGAGTTGCTTAGTGCCTTGCTTTTTGCTGAGGCTGGCTTTGTACTCATGATCCTTCTGTCTCAGCCTTCCAAGCCTCTGGGATTATAGGCATGCACCACCGTGCCCGGCTGTCTTTAGTAATATTCTTGATGAAGCATTAAAAAGGATTATTTTCATTAAGTCTTTACTTGTGAATATACATTTTCAAAATACTCTGAAATAGGATGTGTATGTAGAATACACTTTTGCATGATGAAAGTACTGTGGTTGTCATAATCAGAAATACTTGTACGGTTATTTGAGTTGAAATTAGCAACTTTTGCTGACAGTATAATTAGATTTGGGGACTTGGCAGACATGTTCTTGAAAATAAAGAGTGAGGGCTGAGGATATAGCTCAGTTGATAGAGTGCTTGCCTCTCATGCACAAGGCCCTGGCCAGGTTCAATCCTCAACACCACAAGGAAAAAAAAAGAAAATGAAGAGAGAACTTGTTACTTCAAGATAACTGATAATACTTATTATCAGTGATCTTTTTTAAAAAATATTTATTCATTTATGTGGTGCTGAGGATTGAACCCAGTGCCTCACACATGCTAGGCAAGTGCTCTACCACTGAGCTACAGCCACAATCCTATCAGTGATTTTTAAAGAGTTTTCAAGTAAAATCAGAATTTTAGAAAAATTGAATCCACTATTGTAAGCTTAATACCTCCCCAGTACTTAAAGACTTTTTTCTCAAATCAGTAGTAACATTAACAGATTTTTTAAAAAATATTTTTTAGTTGTAACTGGACACAATACCCATATTTATTTATTTTTTATGTGGTGCTAAGAGGATTGAACCTAGTGCCTCATATGTGCCAGACAAGTCCTCTAACCCCAGCCCTTAACAGATGTTTTATTGGTTACTTTGTTGGTTTTTTGATATTGTAATGAAATGGTCCATATTTGGAATGTTTACTTAGGTCAGTGAATAAGTACTGTTAAATGACCAATGCATGATATTATAAAATATTATGCACTGGTAAGATTAATTCATACTTCAAGATGGATTGTATTAGATATTTATTGCTGTATAACAGATTGCTCCAAAATTAAACTGCTGAAAACAAACAAATATTTTGTTATATCACAGTGTCTGTGGGTCAAGAATCCAAGCATAGCTTAGTTGGGTGCCTTTGGTTAGGGTCCCTATCAAGGTGTCTGCTGGCTATAAGTCATCTCAAAGCTTGAATGGAGGAGGATCTCCTTTAACACTCTGGGTTAGCAATATAACTTCTTTATCATAGAGCAAATGAGAGTCAGAGAGGACTGCCCAAGATGGAAGCTACTGTCTTTTTGGAAATGCCATGCCATCCCATCTCTTCTGCCACATTCTATTTGATACCACCAATAATCAGGGTATTCATATATAGATTATAAATAATGGGAGAAAGGGATGTATGTGTAAGTTTTGTGTTGCTATAGCAAAGTACTTGGGATAATCAATTTAAAAATAGGAAGGGTTTATTTTGGATCACAGTTTTGGAGTTTCAGTCGACAAATGTCACTGTTTTTGGTCCAGGGACAAAGCAGAAGAACATAATGGTGGGAGCACCTGGAGGAAGAAGCAGCTCTCATGGTGGCAGTCAGGAAGCAAAAAGAGGAAGAGACTGGCATCCTTCTTTAAGGGCATACTTTTAAAGGCCTAACTTCCTCCTGCTAGGCTTCATGTCTCAAGTACTCCACCACCTCCCAATAGCATCATGAAGTGGGAACCAAACATTTCATACATGGGCCTTTTGAAAGGCAGTTAATGAAGCCCTAGTAAGGGATAATTGGGGTTCATTTTAGAGACTGCCTGCCACCTAGAATAATGGATTTTAATAGGACAAAATATGAAAAGCTCATTGATAAGATTTTAGGTTTCATGCTGCAACAAACCTTTAAGAAATTACTACTTAAAAGACCCAGAATTCCCACAGCAGTTCTAAGCCAAAAAAGCAATGCTGGAAGCATCACAATACCTGACTTCAAGTCATATTACAGAGCTATTGTAGCAAAAACTGTATGGTACTAGCATAACAACAGACACAGAGACATACCACACAGATAATAGTCATCTGATCCTTGACATMGACGATAAAAATATACATTGGAGAAAAGACAGCATTTTTGTTTTAAATAAGTTCTTTTAAAATATCTTTATTTTGTTTGTTTCTTTTTTATGTGGTGTTGTGGATCAAACCCAGTGCCTCACATGTGCAAGGCAAGCATTCTGCCACTGAGCCACAACTCCAGCCCAAAAAGACAGCATTTTTAACAAATGGTACTGGGAAAACTGGTTATCCCTATATAGAAGAATAAGACTATACATATCTCTCACCTTACACAAAAATGAACTAAAAATGATCAAGGACCTAGGAATTAGACTAGAAACTAAGCAACTCCTAGAAGAAAATGTAGGGTCAACACTCCATATAGGTACAGGCATTGACTTTCTCAAGCTTAGGAAATAATGCCAGGAGTTAATGAATGGGATGGAATCAAATTAAAAAGCTTCTGTACAGCACACAATTAAAAATGTGAAAGAATCTACAGAATGGGAGAAAATCTTTACTAGCTATTTTTCTTAAAAGAAGATTGATATCCAGAATATATAAAGAACTCAAAACTAACCACCAACAAAAAATAACCCAATTGATAATGGGAAAATGAACTAAGCAGACAGTTTTAAAAGAAGAAATACAAATGGCTAACAAATATATGAAAGAATGTTCAACATCTYTAGCAATTAGGGAAATGCAAATCAAAGCTATATGAGATTTCATCTCACTTCCAGTTAGAATGACAGCCATCAAGAATACAAACAATAAGAGGCTGGAGTTGTGGCTCAGTGATAGAGCGCTTGCCTGGCTCATGTGAGGCACTGGGTTCAATCCTCAGTACCACAACACCCAAAAAAATTAAAAACAAGTAAAGAATACAAGCAATAATAAATGCTGGAGAGGATGTGGAGAAAAAGGAGCACTTTTACACTCTTGGTGGAGTTAGTACAACCATAATGGAACCAATATTGAGTTTCCTCAAGAGACCAGGCAATTGGAACCTCACTGTATGACCCAGCTATACCACTACTCAGTATTTATTAAAGTCATCATACTCTAGCAATACATGCATATCCATGTTTATAACACCATAATTCACAGTAACTAAATTTGGAACCAGCGTGGCTGGCTGTCAATGGATGAATGAAGAAAGAGTGTAGTACATATACACATTGGAGTTTTATGTGCCATAAAGAATGGAATTATATCATTTGCAGGAAACAGGATGGAACTTGAAAACATGCTGAGCAAAATAAGCCAAATTCATAAAGTCAAGGGTCATATGTTTTTTTCTCATATGTGGAAGATTAAAAAAAGGAAAGGAAAGATTGTATGTGTGGGAGAGACTCATGAAAATTGAAGGAAGATCAGTAGGATAGAAGAAAAGGAACCAGAGAGAGGGAGGCGGGCAGAGGAAAGGGAAATAAATACTGGGGAACAATAGTGGCCAAATTATATTTTGTGAATGTACGAATATATGACATTAAATCCCACCATCATGTACAAYTGTAACGGACCAGTTTTTAAAAATGGGGCAAAAAAAGAAACTGAACATTGAACCTTACTGATTAAATTGAAGAAGCAATCATATATACATCATATATATTATTAATGTTTTTTCAAGACCACCTAATAAAAAAGAAACTTCCACTAGTTGAGTTTTGGCATAGTATCAAAAAATATCCACAGTTATCTAATAAGATTATTAAAACACTTCTCTGTTTTGTAACTACATGCCTGTGTGGGGCTGAATTTTAATTTTATTCCTATATTTCAACTAAAAGAATATCAGTAGATATAAAATAATGCGAAGATGGTCTGAAAATCCATATTTCCTTGCTTGCTTTTTTTCTTTTTTTTTTTTTCCCTCTTGTGGTACTGGGGATTGAACCAGGGGTAACTCTACCATTGAGGTACAACATGTCCAGCCCCTTTTACTTTTTGAGACAAAGTCTTGCTAAATTGCCCAGGGTGGCCTCAAATTATGATCCACCTTCCTTAGCTTTCTGAGTATCCGGAATTATAGGAGCATCCTACTGTGTCTAGCAATTCTTTAAAATTCTTTAATATAAATATTGATATATAGACATGTGAGTGATATATATTTATATATTTTTTTAACAAGAACGAAGGTTTTAAACATGTGATTCCATATTTTTTGTTGTTATGTTTCTTATTTAGTAGTTTTCATGGAAATAATTGTCCTGTGTAATGACAAATACAGGTTGTTGAGAAGGATGCTTTGGCATGGGGTAGGGGATGTTATACTCTATCTTATCCTGCTGCTAATCATTATTGGTTAATATGGAATGTTCTGGTTATATGCTGGCCAGGTWTGCCATAAAGCTGCCGTAATAACTGTATATTGAAAAAAATCATTAAATGGCCTTATTTATTATAATGTACTAAGTGGTTTGGTAATTTAAGACCACTTTATATGAAAGATAATATTTTGATGATGGTGCTCTAGATCTAACCTATAAAATACCTAAAGACTGGGTATTAGACACCATACAGGGGAACAGAAGACTGTCATTCTATTCACTTTTCCGTTACTAAGCTATTATGTTATAGTGGGAATTCTTTTTCCTTCTAAAATTCAAGATTTTTTTTTTTTTTTGGTGTTTACAATTCTTCATGTGCATCCATTCACTAAGACAATTTTTGAGTCTTGGTTATTCAAGTGGTATACCAAAGGATAGTCATATCCCTTTGGCTAACCTGAATTGGATGTTTACAGCATGTATTATTTCATCTACATGTAGAATTGTCCTAAAAATCTTTCTTCCTAATATTACCACTGGGTTCTTCGCTTTTTGTCTTGGTCAGTTCTCCTTCTTACTGGACTTTAATTTTCTCATTTGTAAAACATGATTGTGCTGAAGATGRTTAGATTAATTATGAATGACTTAAAAGTTTTTAAAACTTTATTTTTTGTGGGTGGGTATCATTTTGAATATATAAGTGTTTTAGAACTTATAGATAAGGAAGTTTCTAGAATTAAGTTTCAAAATTAATGCTTAACTTTTTTGATCAGTTCTATTTTTCCCCCTAAAGCTCCTAAAAGACGACGACCTGCCCGCTCAATATTTGATGGTTTCCGGGATTTTCAAACTGAAACTAGTAGGTATCTTGGACCAAATTTATTATCTCCTTCTTCCCCTTCCTATTAAAATGGAAAAAATAATTAATATTAGGCATAATTGTTTTGAGAATTCAATTTATTAGAAAAATGAAATTATGAATTCAGTCTGTTTATGATGAACTCACTCTGAGCTAAATTGTTGTTATTTTCTAACCTATTTGGTTATAGAGGAATAATAATGGAGATGGAAATAACGTAAGAAATCTGGTAGTTTATCAATTTAGCTTGTTCATGAGCACTTAAAGGTGATTCTAAGGAAATGAAAAACTGATATTCCTCAGGATCCCATCTGTCAGTGGAAGAAATGACTATAACAAAAACTGTTAGGTTGGATTGAAAAAGAGAAGAAAATGCACATGACCCAAAGCAGCCATCATTAATGTTTTAACCACAGTTATTTGGAATAAGATTTTGGGTGGTACAGAAGGTTGAACCTAGGGTGCTCTACCACTGAGCTATATCCCCAGCCCTTTTTATTTTATTTTTTTATTTTATATTTTGGTACTAGGGATTGAACCCAGGGGCACTTAACCACTGAGCCACATTCCAGCCTTTTTTATGTTTTATTTTGAGACAGGGTCTCCCTATATTGCTTAGGTTACACTAAGTTGCTGAGGCTGGCTTTGAACTTGCGATCCTCCTGCCTCAGCTTCCTGAGTCTCTGGGATATAGACCTGTGCCTATAGTATAGGTCTGCTCCACTGTTGCCCGGATCCTTTTTATTTTTTATTTTGAGGCAGGGACTGAATAATTATCCTTATTGGTCTCCAACTTTCATTCCTCCTACATCTGCCTGAGTAGCTGGGATTATAGATTCATATCTTTTAATAGAATGAGTTAGAAAAATCTTGGCCATATATTTTTAGAGGACTTAGTATTGGGTTAGCAATGGAATCCTACAAAAAGGACAGTGTTATGAGAAATTATGAGGAACTCTTGGACTGTGCTTGATTTTGTAGTTTACTCATGAGCTTGTTGAGGGACAGACTGATCTTGTAATCTTGGAAACATCGGGAATGTCTGCATTGGTCATCATCCGTACTGGCGGAGTCTCAAAAGATATAGTTAGAAGCAACACATGTATTGATTTTACTTTCCAAATTAGATAAATGTACATTCACCTATGTAAATGTTTTTCCAAAGTAAAGTTAGTTTTTGAATATATGAAAGAAATTATTTTAGATGACTTTTTTGGGGGGAGGGAGGTGCTAGAGATTGAACTCGGGGTCATGAACATGCCAATTAAATGCTGTACCCCTGAGTTACACCTGAGCCCCAAATGATTATTTTAAATTAATTATCTGCTTTTATTATTTGGATCAGGAACACTACCGAGTCGTAAGACTCCYTCCTGATCAACCTTTTTATTTTATTTTTTCTAAAGTCAGCATTAGATATTTGCATTTGCGGTCAAGTACATTGTTCAGTAATTCTTCTAGTTTAGACAGCTTTTTTAAAATGTAATTCATGGGTCTTTTATTTTATGGCTAATTGAAACTTTTTCATCCTCTGTGTTGCAGTTCGGCAAGAACAGGAGCTAAGAAATGGAGGAGCAATAGATAAAAAACTAACTACCCTTGCAGATTTGTTCCGGCCACCCATTGACTTGATGCATAAAGGCAGCTTTGAAACAGTAAGTTGTTGAAGATTCAATGCCTTAAAACCTTCTGCATTCTCAACACTATTTTTCTGCCTAAGAACAAAAAGGAATTGGCATCTTAATAAGTATTTTTACATGATACACCTAAAGATTACATTGGTTTATGTTTCTGCCTGCAATTTATAAAATCCATTTCTAACAGCAGAAGATTGAGAGTGCTAGTTTGATGGTATTCTCTGAAAAGCCTTGTATGGTATCATTTTAGAATCTCTGCTTCTTAAAAACCTTACTTTTAGTTTATTTATCTTTGACTTACTATTGAGAATAGTATGTGAATGTTTAACTATTTATGATTTGTAGGCATCTTTTGCCTGTAGCTTTTTGTTTGTTCACTGAGAAATACTGCGAATTTCTTTTGTATTGTCCTCGGAATTTTAAGTTTATCATATAACAGAAAACTCCAATAAGGTTGATTTGACCAAATGAGTTTATTTTTTCATTTAGTCAGCCTAGAGTTGTGTAGTAGTTATCCCTTTTTAAATTTTTTTTTATGTTTTAGTTGTAATTGGACAGAATACCTTTATTTATTTTTATGTGGTGCTGAGGATCAAACACCCAGGGCCTCGCACTTGCTAAGCGAGCGCTCTATCACTGAGCCACAACCCTAGCCCAATAGTTGTCCTTTATCTGAAGTTTCACTCTCCATTGTTTGAGAAACCCAAGTTCAAAAATATTAAATTGAAAATTCCAGAAATAATTCATAAATTTTAAATTGTAGACTCTTATGAGTAATATAATGAAATCTTGTGTCACTATACTTAGGACAGTATGTCCCTATGATATATAGTACCCACCTGTTAATTACATAGAATCCATGTTAGTTATTATGTCAACTGTCACAGTATTATAGTGCTAACATTGAAATAGCTATTATTTAATAGTGGCCCCAAAACTTAGCAGTAATGATACTGGTGGCTAATGAGAAAGTATGAAGTATTTTCCTTTAAGTGAAAAGGTAAAAGTTCTCAATAAGAAGAAAACATGGTGTGGTGAACTTGCCAAGATCTATGATAAGAATGAATCATCTGCTTGGCATGAAGGTGCATACCTTTAATCCCAATGACTTTAGAGGCTGAGGCAGGAGGATTGTAAGTTGGAGCCCAACCTGGGCAAGTTAGGGATATCTAATTTGATTTCTGTTTCAACATAAAAATTACAAAGGCTGGGAATGTAGCTCAGTGGTGGAGCATCCTGAGGTTCAGTCCCCAGTACCACACTCACAAACATACACAAGATTATCTAGCCATATGATTGTGAAAAAGGACAAAGAAGGTAACACTAATTTTGCAGCCATACCTAAGATTGCAAAAGTTTTGGCCCAGTGTGTGGTAATTGCTTAGTTAAGAAGGAAGAGACAGCCACGCATGATGGTGCATACCTCAGAATGAAAAAGGAATGGGAAYTTAGCTTGCTGGTAGAGCATTTTTGAGTTCATTCCCTCAGTACCTCCAGAAGAAGACAAGATGGAAAAGGCATTAAACTTATGTCTATCTGATTATATGTGTAGGGGGAAAATAGTATATATTGGGTTTTGTGGTATTTGTGGTTTGGGGCAGACACAGAGGGTAGTGTGTAATATAACCTCTGCATATGAGGGGAGCCTACTCTATTTCTGTAGTGATCCTTGTGTGTTTTTAAATAATGAATCTCTGAAGTTGTAGAATACATTCTCCCTCACTCTTCTTGGTTTTATCTTGGCTAAACTGGAAGAAAAAATTGCAGAGCAGATTTAGGTGATTGCTAACTTTTAAGCTTAATAAGGGCAAGAAGAATGTGGTTTTTTTTGGGGGGGGGAATCCTTAGGACCTAATAGTTGGCATTTAATAGGAGCAATTTTAGATACTCTTTTATTGAAGTGCAAACAACTTGGTTTTGTGTGTTGATTGGCATGTTAATGTTCTTTTGAAAATCAGAATACCATAGATGTAAACTTAAATTTTAGGTAATTCTTATCTGTTAGGATAAAATAGGCCAAAGACTAACTGCAAGTATATATGCATCAGTCACATATTTGAAATAAGTTCTGAATATGTGTTTTAAAAAATTAAACTTTGGGTTGGGGATGTGTTTCAGTGGTAGAATACTTGTGTAGCATACACCATACACGAGGCCCAAGAATCAATCCCTAGCACCACAAAAAAAAAAAAAAAGAAAAAGAAAAAAAGAAAAAAAAATTGACCTTTGAGGGGCTGAGGTTGTGGCTTAGTGATAGAGCGCTCACCTACACATGTGAGCCACTGGATTCGATCCTTAGCATCACATAAAAATAAATAAATAAAGTAAAGGTATTGTGTAACTACATTTTAAAAAATTTGCACTTTGATATACTTTTATACTAGCATGACATATTTAGGATAAGGAATTTAGCTATAAACTTGCTTTTTAGCTTTAATTTTCTGAATTGTGAAACCTGAAAGTGTTTGGCTGCATGTAGTAGAAAACTCAGATGAGGGTGATTTGACCAAATAAGTTTATTTTTGTCATTTAATCAGCCTAGAGTTGAGGGAGGGAATCATTGATGTTCATTCATCCGCTCAAAGATATCAGATTGGATGTTCCCATTGTTGTCTTTTCCCTTGTGATCTTAACATTGCAACTGCCTATCTTTTCTAATGTTCCAGTTATAATAAAGCCATTGAACTGAAAAGCAGCAATATGAAAGACTAAAAGGATCTGGGTTGTATGGCATGTTTTCTGTTTTTAATAACTTTCAAGTTGTTCTAGAGCTTAATGCAATAACTGAGCTGGGTTTAATTTGATAACTTTGGGCTAATAAAAAGCAATAGCTTGCTGGGCCCAGTGGTGCATGCTTATAATCCCAGCGGTCTGGGTGGCTGAGGCAGGAGGATAGTAAGTTCAAAGCTAACATCAGCAACTTAGAGAGTCCTGAAGCATCTCAGTGAGATCCTGTCTCTAAGTAAAATATAAAAAGGGCTGTGGCTGTGGCTAGGGTTTAGTCCCCAGTACCCAAAAAGGGGGGGGGGGGTTTGTTTGTTTGTTTATTGAGAAATATTGTGAATTTCTTTTGTACTGTCCTGAATTTTGTCACTTTTTTTCTTTGTATTTCATGACCATATTGTTTCCAATAATTCATTCTTTTTCTTTTAAACTGATAATACTAATTGTAAATATTTGCAAGTCATAAGTGATGTAAGAACTCAGAAAATACAGGCATTTCATTGTGATTAGATATCTCTTAGTAATATCAAAGTAAGTAAAAGTAAGGGAAGGAATATGCAAGTCATTGACCTTTAAAGAGGTAGATGTTAAAAATTGGGGGGATACTCTGGCTGCTCAGGGAAGACCCTCAAGTTCCATCTACATATTATATATAAATCTGGGCCACAGTTTTACAGGTTTAGGAACTAGTGTAACTAGACAAATCATATTCAGAGACTTTCTAGGGCAGCTAACCAAAGAGAAATTGATTAATTCACTTAGTCATTTGATACATATTTATTGAGACCTTTTCTACATGATGGAGATTATATATTTCAGAGTTAAGATCAAACTACATGTAGCTATGTACCACCTGACTATAATCCTAGCTTTTTAGGAGACTGAGGCAAGTTCAGAGCAATTTAGGTAGCTTAGTTGGACAACCGTGTCTCAAAGTAAACAGGGTTGGGAATGTAGCTCAGTAGTTGAGAGTTTGCCTCACATCTGCAAAGCCCTAAGTTAAATCCTCAGTTCTGCCAAAAAAAAAAGATTATGTTATATGTGACAGAGACAGGGAAAAAATGAGTAGCTTAAGTTAGAGAAGGCTAGGCTGTTAGGATGGTCTACTTCAAGTAGTTACTAGAGCTACAGTTATTTTTGTGTTTTTGTATCGTGCTGTAGTTCTTCCTTGTTCTTTTCAATGAGTCAAGATGACTTACCACTGTGTTTGTTTTCTAGCCAGCATGGAGGAGGGAAGGGCCTGAGTAGGTTATGGCTTTTCCTATTAAAGGCACAATCTGTAAGTTGTACACATCACTTCTGCTCACATCTTATTGATTAGAACTTGATAATATGGCCACATCTTGTTGCAGTAGAAACTAAGAAATCCAAATACTTAAGATAAAACTGCAGTTTCTCAGACTGACACGGGGATAATGTGTATCTGGTACCTATTTTAGTCAGCTTTGTATGACTATGATGGAAATATCTGACAAGAACACCTTAGGGGAGGAAAAGTTTACTGTGGGCTCAGGGTTTTTGAGGTTTCAGTCCATAGAAGGCCAACTCCCTTGCTCGGTTCTCCAGGTGTGGTAGTATATCATGATGGAAAGGGTGGTAGAAGAGTGCTGCTCTATTCATGGTGACCAGGAAGCAGAGGGAGAAAGGGGAAGGGGCCACAGGAAGAACAGCCCTTCCAGGGCACACCCCCAGTAACCCCCTTCCTGCAGCCACACCCCACCCACCTAAATTAACACCCAGGTAGTCCATTTAAACTAGGATGGKACTGATGAAGTTACACCTCTCAGTTATTTCACCCCTGGATAGTCCTGAAATGACACAGGAGCTTTGAGGGGACACTTCATATCCAAACCATAACTTTCTGCCCCTCACCTGCAAAAGCTCATATCCATATTCGAGAGTACCTATAGTCTGAATAGTTCCAGCATTTCCCAAAAGTTCAAGTACAAAGTCTTGACTTAAGGCAAACTCTTGGCTATGAGCCCCTGTAAAAATTAAAAGCAGGCCACATGTCTCTAATGTACAGTGGCACTGAGTAAACATTCTCATCCCAAAGTGGGGAATAGTGGCATAGAAAGAATGAATGGGACCAAAATAAGACCTAAACCCAGCCAGGCAAACATTAGGTTCTGCAACTTTATGTTCAGCATCTACAGCACGTTTTTTGGGTTTTTTTTGTTTTTTGTTTTGTTTTTAGTACTTATTTTTTTAGTTTTCGGTGGACACAACTCTTTGTTTGTATGTGGTGCTGAGGATCGAACCCAGGCCGCACGCATGCCAGGCGAGCACACTACCACTTGAGCCACATCCCCAGCCCTACAGCACGTTTTTGAGATGTGAGCTCCAAAGGGTTTGGCAAGGCCCATCTCTTGGCCTTTCTGGTTGCAGTACTTGTAGCCTCCTAGCCTAACTGTCTTTGCAGACAGCAGCTTTCCTTGACAGACAGTCCATATTACTGATATCTCTTAATTCCAGGAGTCTCCATTCCACCTTTAGCTTCACTTACACAATTTTGTGCATTGCCTTCTCAGAGGATGCCTGCAGGAACTCCAACCCATTTGCCCTTTGCCTGGCCTTCTAGGCCTTCCTTTGAAATTTCRGTGTAAGCCTTGTGACCTCCAAATTCCAGCATCCTGCATTCCTGCAGAATCAGCACCATGTAGATGACACCATGGTCTATCACCAGCTTTAGCAGTGAATGGGCCCCCTTGGACCTTCATGGCTCCAACGGCCTCTGAGTAGCTGAGCACAGTGAAACAATTTCTTAGGCTTCCCTATGCAAATAGGGTGCCCCCCTCTTTCTTCTCTGTCTTAAAAATAATTTTATTTCAATTCCCTTAAACCTTCAGCAGGTATGGCTTTGCCAACTCCTGAAATGCATTCAAAGCATCTTTCCTATTGCCTCTTTGCAGAGTACTTAGCATCTCTTTGGTAACTGTTATCTCTTCAACAACCATACCTTCTTTGGTCTCAGTTTTATACACACTTTTCTGGCCAGGTTGCAAGTTTTATAAAATTCTCCTGTGCTTTTTGCTTCCAGTTCTCACAGTAAACCTGGCTTAAAGCTGCCAGCAATATCCATGCCACAGCCTGAATGCTATGCTGCCTGGAAATTTCCTCTGCTAGATTAATTTATCCATCACTTATAAATTTAGCCTCACACAGAATCTCAGGACATGAGCAAAAATTTAGCCAAGTTCTTTGCCAGAATATAACAGAAGGCTCTCTAGTCAGGTTGTCAGTAGAGTACTCATTTTCCTCTGAAACCTCATGAGCACAGTTGGCATCTGGTCTTCTGAGCTCCCACCAGAATCACGCTTTAAGCTCTACTTACAAAATCTAAAATTTTTTCAAGTTATACCTTTAAACTTTTCAAATTTCCTCTCACATATCAGCACCAAAGGCATCTGAACCACATGGTCAGTTATAGCAGTGATCCCAATTTCTAGTGCCAATATCTGTTTTAGCTATTTTTTGCATTACTGTGACCAAAATACCCTACAAATACAATTTGAAGAAAAACTCACGTCCCTTATATAAAATGATGTAGTATTTGCATATAGCATACATCCTTGTATACATTTAATCATCTCAAGATTATTTACAATACCAAATRCAATATAAATGCTCTGTACATAATTGTTATACTATATTGTTTGGGGAATAATGATCAAAAAAGGGTCCATGCATGTTCAGTACAAAGGCGGTTATTGTAGGCCTGCCTCCATAGTTCTTGAATGAAACACATGGTAAACAGTGCTCAAACAACAAGTGCCAGATAGAGACTGAGGATCTGTGAAATGTAGAAAGTTATAGCAGGGTATGCCTACACATGACTTCATTCTTCATTTGTGTGAATTCAACATAGTGTTCTGCATGTAGCAAATGCAAGTTTACTTTTTGGAATGTTCTGGAATTTTTTTCCCTGAATATTTCCCATCTGTGGTTGAATCCAAAGAGTGTGGAGAGCTAACTGTATAGCTTACATTTAGTTTTACTCTGTTTAAATAAAAAAATTAGGGGAAATAATATTTTTATTATAATTTTAATTTCCCCACTGTGCATATGCATATTTTAATATATTTCCTTGATTTTATTTATGTATATTTACTGAAATATATTTTTTTCTCTGATTTTTGTTTTTCATGCTTTCCTGATCTACCTGGGACTGGGATAAAGATGCTTGTCTCCCATTGTTTTGCCCATGGGTCTCCTCATAATGGTTTTTGAATGTTGACTTAGAACAAATAGATTTCAAGAGGGAAGTTGCTCATTTGTCCCATAGCCTACTCCCACCTCCAGKCTTTAACTTGTGTAATTGGTATACTTAGTGAAATTATGTAAGACTTTATCTTCCTCTTATTTAATTGTATATATTTAAAATGTGCAGCATGCTGTTTTGCTGTACATAGTGAAGTGATTACTTACAGTCAAGCAAATTAATCTGTCCATCACCTTTCGTAGTTACCCCCACTCATGGTAAGAGCTTCCAAAATCTACTCTCAGCCAATATTCAGTGTATAATGCAAAATTAATAATTGTATCCATGTTGTATAATCTCTAGAATTATTCAGGACTCTTTTTTATTTCTCCTAATATTGTTGCTCTATCTGGAAGTCGTGTCATACTTAGACTCTTTCTTCTAGCAGTATTGTTACCTTTGTCTTCAGTGTGGATAATACTATCAACTTCAAATTTCTTTTGCTGATATAAGGTTTCTTCTCCAATGTAAGATTTATGAGGGAATGGATTTTTGTGTTTGGTAACTGCTATAACTTCAGGATCTATAACTCTACCTGAAACCTGGTAGATATTTAGTATTTATTGAATGGCTGAATCTGAATTAATAAAAGCGTGAATGTCAATAAACAAATTTTAAAAAACAAAGTAAATGACTCATCATCATTTTTTTTTAAGAGAGAGAGAGAATTTCAATATTTATTTTTTAGTTTTCAGCGGACATAACATCTTTGTGGTGCTGAGGATCGAACCCGGGCTGCACTCATGCCAGGCGAGCGTGCTACCGCTTGAGCCACATCCCCTGCCCCTCATCATTATTTTTAACTCTAGAACTTCATTCATTTTCAGCTTTATGTATTTATTTTTYCTTGTCAGTGTTGTAGCTGTGGGCAACCTTACATAAATTTACTATTACAACAATATATATTCTTTAGTCTCTAAAAATCTGGGACTTTTTTTCTTTTAATACTTTTTCTTTAGATAAGGCAGTTTAATTAGTCCTTTTTAAATCACTTATTAAATCTTTGCAAGTAGATAAAGAATTAAATGGAACAAAATTGCTTTCAAAGAGCAAGGTGTTGTCTTATTATATTTATATGCTTTAAAATAAAATTTTCACCAGTAAAGATAGTTTGCTGGCTGAGTACAGGAGTAYTTCTTTTTAGAATGTGACTTTTTACCTGTGGAATCAGTAATCGAATATTAGAAAAGAATTATCTCTGGGGAATTCATGCACACAAAAAAGAGCTTTATTAAAGTTGTGTAAACCATTTTAAAACAGAAAATAGTCTTACATTTTCTGATACTCCTCAGAATGATGCGTGTTCTTTGATTACTATTATACAAAATTTATTGATTCCATGACAAACTGATAGGGAAAAGAATATTGTTCCAGAAAAATACAAAAACTATGACTTTCTTGTCATTATTCCTGTACAAAGATTTCTTTGAGATTGCATTTTCTCATTTGCTTTTGTACCATTCATTTCACATTTAACAACATTTCAGAGTCTTTATGAAACAAAAAGTTCACACTCATGATTSGTGCTATAAATTAAGGGATCATGTGGAGATTATTCTCAGTCTTTTAGGAAAACAACTCTTAAGAGGTAATAGTGCTCAGTAGCTTTTATTAAAACATCTAGGGTGATTCTACAAGATAGAATATGCCTAATAAATGTAATGAATATGATATTTGGAAGTATTATAGAAAATTATGATGAAGAAGATTAAACAGCATAAAGTAATATTCACACTCCAGTAACACCTATTAAAAAGGAGAGGTATATTTGTTGACAGGGATTGGAAGAGAATAAAATTTGTGAATTGTTGATCTTAAGTTTATGGAATTCTTTTCTGGTATAAATATATTTAAACATTTTTTTAAATTCATTGTGACAGTGGGTTAAAAAGAAAATAGTTTATTTTAAATTTGAGAAATGTTTGAAATGGATAGTGTAGTTATGTATCTATATGGAAAGTAATAATAAATAATGTATAAACACTGAAAACTCCTGATATAAAGAACTTAATATTTATATTGAAAGGACAGCTTCTGAATTCTGAAACAAATCACTCACCAAATAGAAACTATTTTTAACAAATGTTGTATAATTTTCTCTTACAGGCCAAAGAGTGTGGCCAGATGCAGAATAAGTGGCTGATGATAAATATTCAAAATGTACAAGATTTTGCATGCCAATGTCTCAACCGAGATGTATGGAGCAATGAAGCTGTGAAGAATATTATCCGGGAGCATTTCATTTTCTGGCAGGTGAGAAGAGTTTATTGAATTTTGAAGTTGAAGAATTGTTGTGGTATTTAATTTCTATAGTGTGGTATTTAGGGGAGGAGGGATTAAATTGGGAAACTGAGTTAAAACTTGACATATAGACCACCCATAATGGCTGAAATAGTAAAGGCAAGTGAAAGGACAGCAATGGAGAACTCCCAAAGGAAAGAGTTCTTATAAACCAACACTCATTCCAGAAGCATCTTGATAGAGTGAATGTACAGCTACTGTACTGTTCAACAGGACTATAATGTATATAATTTTAAGCTTTCTATTAGCTATATTAAAAGAAATGAGTGTGCTGTGGCCGAGCACAGTGGCTCACTCCTATAATCCCAGCAGCTCAGGAGGCTGAGACAGGAGGATTGTTTGAGTTCAAAGCCAGCTTTAGCAACAGGCAAGGTGCTAAGCAACTGAGTGAGACCCTGTCTCCTGTCTCCTGTCTCTAAGTAAAATATAAAATAGGGCTAGGGGTGTGGCTCAGTGGTCAAGTGCCCCTGAGTTTAATCCTCTATACCCCCCCCCAAAAAAAAGAAAGAAAGAAGAAAAGGGTGAAATTAATTTAAAAATATATTTTGTTTAAATTGATATATTTATCATATAACAAATATAAAAATATCAGTGGGATGTTTTGCTTTGTGTATGTGTGTGTGTGTGTGTGTGTGTGTGTTAAATCTTCAAGATGTGGTGTCTGTTTCCATACTTAGGCCATCTCAGTTTGGACTAGCCAATTTCAAGTTCTTCAGAGAGCTATTTGGGGCTAGTGACTAGTGGCTTGTGTATAATTTGAAATAATGGAAAAACATTTGACTAAGCTGACTTTGAAGTAATGGGAAAACATTTGAGTAAGACTTGGATTTTTAGTTTGGCCTTCATTCTGTCTGTTATGTGGGGGCGTCTCTCTCTCTCTCTCTCTCTCTCTCTCTCTCTCCCCCCCCCTCTCTCTCTTTCTCTCTCTCTCTCTCACATTCTGTTTCTGTTATATTTGGCGCACACGCACGAGCTCTCTTTCTTTCTCTCTCTGTCTCTGGCTAGGATCTTGTGCATAACCCTGAGCTATATATGCCTTCATCCTGATCCCTGATATACTAACTTTATATCCCTAGACATACCACTTAGTATTCTTGACTCTATAGTTTTTTTTCTTTGCATGYGCCACCACATTCAGCTGTAGTTTCTTTCTTTCTTATAATTACTTATTTGTTTATTTTTATACAGTGCTAAGGATCGGACCCAGTGCCTCACACATGCTAGTCAAGCACTCTGCCACTCAGCTCCAGCTCCAGCCCCACCCTCTAGTTTCTTTTTATATAAAATTATCCAGCTAAGAGCTGGGGCTATAGTTCAGTGGTATAATGCTTGCCTCCCACATGTGAGACACTGGGTTCAAGCCTCAGCACCACATTAAAAAATAATAATAAATTAATAAACAAAGATACTGTTTGTCCATCTACAACTAAAAAAAGAAAAAAGAATTATCCAGCTAAGGTTAGGTGATAACTTTTGAATGAACTTAGTTTTTCCTATTATAAGATATGTTAAAGTTATTAATTTGCCTGCTCATGTGTTATAGGTGCCTAAATTCAACATGATGATTTTTAATGGCAAGATTTATTTTTTTCAGCAAATATTGATTGAACATTTTGTTGCCTAGCATTATGCTAGACTCTCAAGCTAATATTAATATGTTGTGATATATTAGGATATCTATAGTTGAGGGTCAGGAATGAGAGAGGTGGACAGATACTTGAATAGGGAAGAGCAATACTTCTGAACCAGGAAGAAAATGAATTTCCAGGTGGGTCTGAGGGCAGGAAGTTGAGGGAGTCATTATATGACCTTCATTTTTTTTCTTTAACATGAGAATGAGATCCTAACACATGACACCAAGGGTATATTTGAAAAATTAATTGCTATTGGTGTATAACAAGATTATAGTCGATACTTTTTTTAAGAAGCTGACCTTTTTTTATATATCGATGATTTAACAGGTTTATCATGACAGTGAGGAAGGTCAGAGATACATACAGTTCTATAAACTAGGGGATTTCCCCTATGTTTCCATCTTGGACCCACGGACAGGTAAGATTTATAACAGTCTACAGCCTTAACCTATCATTTATTTTGCATTTACCTAGATGATTAACCTTTAATATTTAACTGGATCTGGTATTGGAACTATGATAATTTAGATGAAGGTTTCTTGTTCATTCACTTTATTATAATTATTATAATTATTTAAATGGGGGCTGGGGATGTGGCTCAAGTGGTAGCGCGCTCGCCTGGCATGCGTGCAGCCTGGGTTCGATCCTCAGCACCACATACCAACAAAGATGTGTCCGCCGAGAACTAAAAAATAAATATTTAAAAAATTCTCTCTCTCCTCTCTCACTCTCTCTTTAAAAAAAATAATAATTATTATTATTATTATTTAAATGTCTATTGACGTGTGTATTTAAGGAACCCATTTCTGGCAGCTTGAGAGATGGTAATATTTTATATTTGTGCAGTTCTTTTCTTTCAGCGAATAACTGATATGTTCATTTTATAAAGGGTCCCCTTAGGTTTCGCTGTTTTGTGTTTGTTTTTCTTTGTTTTGTTTCGTTTTCTTTTTTGGTACTAGGGATTGACACTAGAGGCATTTAAGCACTGAACCACTTCCCCAGTCCTTTTTATTTTTTATTTTGAGATAGGACCTTGCTTACTTAGGGTCTTGCTAAGTTGCTGAAGCTGGTCTTTTTTTTTTTTTWAAAACATGTCACAATTACATATTAGCAAGCGTTATGTTTTGTTTTGTTGGTTTTTTTTTTTTAAGAGAGAGAGAATTTTTTAATATTTATTTTTTTAGTTTTCGGCGGACACGACATCTTTGTTTGTATGTGGTGCTGAGGATCGAACCCGGGCTGCACGCATGCCAGGCGAGCGTGCTACCACTTGAGCCACATCTCCAGCTCCTGAAGCTGGTCTTAGATTTGCAGTTGCCTCAGCCTCCCAACAGGCATGCACCCAACGGCGTGTACCACTGTGCCCAGCCTCCTAAGTTTTTTAATACTAAAATATTAAGATTTTTCAGATAACTGGTTATAATTGCACCAGAGAAACACAGGGTGAAGCTGGTTTTATTTTTAAAAAATGTTTTGGGACAGGGTTTCACTCTATTCCCAGGCTAGCCTTAAATTTGTGATCCTCCTGGCCAGCCTTCTGAGTAGCTGGGATTACAGGTGTGCACCACTGTACCCAACTTGCTTTTATTATTGGTTGTGTTTTATTTAGACACTGCTTTGTTTTAATTTCTTCTTCCAAAATGGCAATAAGTGATAARATAGTTGCTTTATCATGATGGATGGGAATCTGTCAGGTGGTTATCATTTATGTAGGCTCTAGGTTAAGCTAGTGAAGGATGGATGTATGTTTAATTATGCATATGCCAAAAGAACTACATCATGAGAATGTTCAGAAAAAGTTTTGAGTTTTTTTTATGTTTATATATCCTAATTTTTAATCTTTAGGTCAGAAGCTAGTAGAGTGGCACCAATTAGATGTATCGTCTTTCTTGGACCAAGTCACGGGATTTTTGGGTGAACATGGGCAGTTGGATGGACTTTCTAGCAGTCCCCCCAAAAAATGTTCCCGATCAGTAAGTATGAGTAAGAAGTGGTGATATAATTGTACATAAGCATCTTATGTAAAATATTTGATGTTAAGATAGTAATAATGATAATGTAAAAGCCAACAGTTATCATTTGTGGCTCTACTAATCTTAGATACCCACCTTTTTATTTCAATAATTTTCCACATAAGGACTCCATCTTCTCAGTGAAGTCATAAGACTCATATTCCTGCTCTCTGGGTACAGCTGTGGTGTAGACATATCACTTAAGATCTCCTAAGATCTTGATTTAGAAGTAAACAGTGTGAATATATAGAGCAGGAGGACTGACGTGGTAGGTCTGGTAGTGGAGGCCTCTTCCTCAGGAACAGCACTGTGAGGGCTTCTAGTATCCAAATCGAAGTAACAGTGTACATGTGGTTTTTGCTGGAACTCCTCTCATGGTATATAGTTTTAGGGCCTGTCTCTCTGACTCTTTCAGATTGTTTCTATATTTATTTTCTATAATCTGCTATTAGTAGGCAGACTTCTTTGATAATTAGTATCCTGATTAGTTGCAAGTAGTAGACCTCAAAGATAGGCCATCTCACATTGTTTGTAGTAGCTGTTTGGGTTTGATGATAGTAAAGATAAAAATAGTTTTATTAGTGCATGTGACTTTGGCAGTCCACATCAAGTAGTGATATAAGTTGTATAAGTTATTACCCAGAATGAAGTACCTATTTAAGGAAAAGCCTTAGGGAATAACATTGGTTTTTTAAGGAAACAAAACCAAAAAAAAAAAAAAAACAACCCAGTGTCTCTTTAATTTCCTTGAGAGTTTTCTTATTTTTTGCATTCTTAAGGCTGATGTTGGACAAACCAGAACCTGAGCCTATGAGCTACTGGATTATGACATTAATTGAATTTACAACCTCACTTTAAAGAGTTAAAGCAATAATTGATAGAGATCTTGCTTTGCATGCACAAGGTCCTGGGTTCCATCTCTAGCGCTATCAAAAAAAAAGTTAGGGCTGGGGCTGGGGCTCAGTGGTAGACTGCTTGCCTAGCGTGAGTGAGGCACTGGGTTCCATCCTCAGCACCACATAAAAATAAACAARGACATTCTTATATCTATAACTACAAAAAAAAATTTTTTAAAGTTAAAAGCATTTAGTGGGAAAGTCTGGACCATAAAATTGGAGCAATATATACATAGGAATGGATTTGGGTGTCTGGTACCTCAGACCTTACTTTTGATACCAAATTCTGAACTCTACAAAATTTATTTCAACTTCATATAAAAGAAACACCAACAAATAAAAATTTAAACAAGGAAGATGCTTATTTATCTCAGCAAAAAGTCCAGATAAGCAGTCTGTGTTTTGAATTCTGGGGGTGCCATCTAGGAACCAGGTTCCTCCTCTTTTTTTTTTTTTTTTTTTTTTTTTTTTTGATCTTCCATCTTTAGTCTTGTCTTTTGTTCTTGTGGTCAACGAAGAGATACTTCACTGATAGGTCTCATATCTGTATTGCAAGCATGGATGAGGAGGAAGGGATATCATCTTATTACAACGGTAAATAGCCACAGATAAGAATCCTGTGTATTTTAGCGGGCACATTTTCTTACACAAACACAGTCGAGGTGCTATTAATAAAGAGGCCGAGGAAAATAGCTATGAGATAGGAAACTAACCTATGTGGTTTACARTGTCATCTGTAGTCAGTCCAAGCTGTTACATGTCACGTGGGCACAAGTTTGCTTTTCTTTGTGTGTGATAAATTCACCTCAAGTTTATTTTTAAAATTGTATAGCTTTATTGACATAAAATTGTGCAGTAAAATTGAATATAAGGTTTATAGTTGGACAAGTTTTAATGTTGACCCTCTTTTCATGTGCTTTTTTGCTCTATGTATTTCAGTGAAATGTTTATTCAGATCTCTGCCTCTTTTTTGTTTGTTGTCTCTTTAATATTGAATTGTAAGAGGTCCTTTATGTTCTAAATATAAGGCCTCTTTTGGATAAATGGTTTGCGGATATTTTCTCCCAGTTGATGCTTGTTTTCATTTTTATACAGTGTATTTGAAGAGCAAAATTATAAAGTTCTGATGAAATCCAATTTGTCAATTTTCTTTCTCTCTCTCTCTTTCTCTCTTTTTGAAACTGGGGATTGAACTGAAGGGTGCTTAACCCTTGAGGCACATCCCCAGCCTCTTTTATTTTTCATTTTGAGACAGGGTCTTGCTAAGTTGCTTAGACTGACCTCAAACTGGTGGTCTCCTGCCTCAACCTCCTGAGTTGCTGGGATTACCGGCATGCACCACCATGCCTTGCCTTGCTATAKTTTTCCTTAAAAATACTTTTAGTTCTTGAGTCTATGACCCATTTTGTATTGATTTTTCTTAAAATCAATTCATTTATTTTTACTGGTGAATTATAATGATACGTAAGAACAGAATTCCTTATGGCATATTTATATATGCATATAACATAACTTGGTGAATCTCATTCTCCAGTACCTTTCCTTGTAGCACATTATTTATAATACTACTGTCTAGCCTATTGCCACTCACACATCCCTCATTGTATTTATACTATTGTCTATGCACATATAATCCCAAGACCTCCTTTTTTATTCTGAATTATTTTACATTAGCAAATATTTTGGACATTAAAACAATAGGTAGTCATGAATTCCTTTTTGTTTTCTGAAGCAGGTTCAACAACTGTGCAATGAATAGTAAGAAGACTGGTGAATTAATTTTTATATATGATGTTAATCTGTGGTTGAGCCAACTTTTATGGGTTTTTTTTTTGTGTGTGTGTGTGTGTGTGTGTGTGAGTGTGTATTTAGTTATGCCTTAGTTTCAATATTATGTGTTGAAAGGAATTTCCCTTCCCCCCATTGAATTTGCCTTTGTACTTTTGTCAGAAAGAAATTTAGCCAGATATGGTGGCACTTGCTTCTAATCCCGGCAACTCAGGAGGCTAGGACAGGAGAATCACAGGTTCAAAACCATTTTTTGACACTAAGCAACTCAGTGAGACCCTATCTCTAAATATAAAGTACAAAATAGGGCCGGGGATGTTGCTTAGGGGTTGAGTGCCCCTGAGTTCATTCCCAGGTACAAAAACAAATAAAACAAATTGATCTTGTATGTGTGAGACTGTTGATGTATTCAAATCAATTCTAGTGATTAATAATGTCTTTTACACCAATATTTCAGTATTTTAATTAATGTATCTTTGTAATGAAATCTTGAAATCATATGGTATGAAATGTCCCACTTTATTCTTTAAAATTGTTTTCATTATTTCAGGTTCTTTGCATTTCCATATAAGTTTTAGAACTGCTTGTTACTTTCTATTAAAAAAAAAAAAAGCTGAAGCTGCTGGGATTTTGTTTGGAAATGTGTTGGCTCTGTGGAGAATTTTGAGGAGAATTGACATCCTAACAATTGAATCTTCAGATCAGTGAACATGGAATATATCTCCTCGTTTACTTGTTTTTAAGTTTTTCTCAGCAGTGTTTTTGAGTTCTTACATATTGACCTTGTAGCCTGCAGCCTTACTAAACTAATTCTAGTAGCGCTTTTGTAGTTTCCTTAGACTTTCTTGTGTCTTAAGCCATTTTGTGAGCAACTAAAGACTTTTATTTCTTCTTTTCTAATCCTTRGGCCTTTTATTTGCTTTTCATGCCTTGTTAAACTTGCTAGAATCTGCCTTACAAAGTTTCATGGAGTAGTGAGATGAGACATGAGACACCCTTACTTTGTTTCTGGTGTTCAGGTGAAAGCATTCAGGTTTTTTTTTTTTTTAATTGTCAATGGACCTTTATTATTTATTTATATGCAGTGCTGAGAATTGAATTCACTGCCTCATACTTGCTAGGCAAGTGCTCTTCCACTGAGCCACAACCCCAGCCACAAATGCATTCAATGTTTTACCACACAGTTTTGTGTTAACATCATATTTCTTATAGATCTACTTTATCAGGTGAGGAAGTTTCCTTCTGTTCCTGGCTTGCAGAATTTTTATTGTGAATGGATTTGTCATTTTTTTTTATAACATCTGTTAAGACTGTCGTGGTTTTCTTTTAGTGAATTCCATTGATTGATATTTTTAACATTAAACCAACCATGCATTCTTGACCTAAAATCCATTTGATTATGATCCATTACTTTTTAATATATTGTTGAAATTTATTTATTTATTTAATGTATTGACTAGAGATGGGACCCAGGGTCTCACACATGCTTTGCAAGTGCAGTACCACTGCATTACATCCCTACCTCCCTTCTCCCCCGCTTTTTAAATCTTGGATTTTGATACAGGGACTGCAAGCTGCCCAGGCTGGCCAGAAACTTAGAATTCTCCTGCCTCACCCTCCTGAGTACCTTGGGATTATGTGTGTCACCAAGCCCAGCTGTTGTGAGGTTTTCTTTTTTTCTTTCTTTCTTTCTTTTTTTGGCGTCTGCGGGGGCGAGGATGCTTTTGGGGTTTTTGTTGTTGTTGTTCTGTCTTCCTTGTAACATCTTATAACATGTCTTTGTCTGGTTTGGGTATTCAGTTAATGCTGACTTCACAATAAATTGGAAAGTGTGTCCATGTCTTCTGTTTTCTGTAAGAGTATGTGTGGAATTGTTATTATGTATTCATTAATGTTTGGTAACATTTTCCACCTGGGTGTAAAAGAGTTTTTCTCTATGGGAAGTTTTAAACTACAAATTCAATTTTATTATTAGATATAGTATTATTTGGATATTCATTTGTTTTTGAATGAGCTTTAGTAGGTGTGTGTTTCTAGGGATCTGTCCATTTTATCTGAGAGGTTAAATATGTTGACAAAATTCATTATATTCCCTATTATTCCTTTAATGACTGTAGTTATCGCCTCTAATCCTGTTATTGGTAATTTGTTGGTTTTCTTTTTTTCCTGATAGTCTAACTGAATGCTTAATAGTTTTATTGGTCTTAATGAGCCAGATTTTGGTTTCACTTATTTATTTTTTTTTAAAGAGAGAGAGAATTTTTTAATATTTATTTTTTTTTTTAGTTCTCGACGGACACAACATCTTTGTTTTTTTTGTATGTGGTGCTGAGGATCGAACCCGGGCCGCATGCATGTCAG